GTATCTTTCTCCCCCTGGTCAGAAAATGGTCACTGCTTGCATCACAAGCGGGGATGTTTCTGGCGGGGGAGAAAGAAACAATTGCGCAGCGCGTCCCGCGGCGTTGCGCGGGCAGTTTGGGGCCGTATAAATACGGGCGCACAACGGGGCTCCGCCTCACTCCGCCTGCCCTCGCAAAACCCCACCCTCCCCCCCTTTGCAAGCGGCTGCTTTTGTACCCCCGTCATGCTTTGCACAGATGTCCCGATTGTCTCCCCACTGCATGTGGGAAGGGGGGTGCAGCGCCGGTCCCCAAGTGTCCCGCTGTCCGCAGCTAATACTTTGCCCAGTCTAGGTGCTAGTAAGCCCTACTTGTAGTCACACCCCCTTCTCCTTATCCATTAGGTCTTTTACGGCCTCTTGGCCGGGTACATTACGTGTTATGTGGTCTCTCACTTATTAGTTATTCTTTGTGTCCTGCCTGTTATATCCTAGTGTTATATAATTACTACACATTTGCACTCGGCCTTAATTCTAGTACCAGTTAACCTTTAGGTTTCTGCAGAATTAGTTTCCATGTCACTATAGGCTAAGGTCTCATACTTACTACGGGTGTACCTTTTAAGTTAAATCTAGTCCTTGGAATTGTTACTGTTAATTCTTACTTTATATATTTACTTTATATATTTACTTTATATATTTTAATATAAACGTTATATATTCCTTAAATTATATTTGAAACTTTGTATATTTACATGTTCAATATTAAGTTTTATATAATATCAACTTTGTTAAGTCTATAATATAAACCGTGTTTAATATAAACTTTATATAATTACTTACTTTATGTGAACTTTATATATTTACATGTTCTGCAGAATTTAATCTTCAATAAACTTTAACGCCCCATACTGTCAGTATCTTTCTCCCCCTGGTCAGAAAATACTGTACCTATAATTTTCTCTCATCTTTTTTTTCATTCCATGTAATCTGTTATCATTTTTTTGTCTATAAATTTTGCAAGTATTTACCTCCTTAAAATTTTCTTAGATTAAGGACCTGCCCGAAACGCTGTGCGTGCTAGTGGCTTTACAAGACTGTAATTACCATATTTGTATCCTCACATTCCTTATGTACATTCTTGTATATGCATAAATAAATAAATAAATAAATAAATAAATAAATAAATAAATAAATAAATAAAGTGCCAGGGCTAGACCCAGCTGCATGGCATTGAAATCGTTATGACCAGACTAGGCAATGAAGGCAAGGAATCGGATCTTTGTGACAACATTTCGTCTTTCTGAGCACCCACGGAGACAGCAGCCCTCAGCTGGGTGTGCCCTGGAGGCTCACACCAGATGTGGTCTTAGATTCGCTAATCAGCATCGTGCCCCACCCAAGGCACCAGAAAACGGGAGCTATCTGGTCCCCCCCCCCTTCCTAAAGAGGGGGGAGAAGAGTTAGGAGGCTATAGTTGGAAGTTTGGTGATTTGAGTAGTGGTATATTAGAGGAGAGGGGTTATGTAAAGGACGGAGCAGGAGGTGGATCGTCGATCAGGTTAAAGAGGTTGTGTGTATGTCTGGGTCTGCTTAGGACGTTTCTGAGGAACGCGTCGTAGTTGTCATGATAGGTGAGAATTCTATTAATCTGTTTCTTCCCCATAGTATCCCAGGTTATGTTCAGAGGTGGGATGTTCGCCCACTCATGCAGGGACTCACAGTGGTGAAATCCTGCCAATGGGTATCGAACACCCATCTCAGAGCCCTGTTCTGGGTACGCTGGAGTTTCTTCCTATTTGTTGGTGCTGCAAGTGAGAGTGGGATCGGTGCATATAGGAGTGGGAGAATAAGTGTTTTGTATAGATAGAGCTTGGTGGCTTGGGAGGCATGTTTGAGTGGGAAGAGTTTTGATAGAGCGTTTGAGGCTATAGCTTTCTTGGGTGTTATGTGTGTGAAAGCGAAGGTTAAAGTCTAATGTGAGTCCAAGTACTGTGATGTTGTTGACTCTTGGGATCTGGGTTGCATCTGGTGATTAAGAGTAGAGTTTTACTGGGGCAGGGTTACGTCGTTTGTTGTAGAAGAAGTATGTAATTTTAGATTTGTTGCGGTTTGTTTTTATTCGCCAGTCGTGTTCCCAGAGGGTGACTGTCTATTTCTTGCTGTGCTTTCCGTGTGAGGGCGTTAATCGTATAGTCCGAGATCAGTTGGGTTACGTCGTCAGCGTAGCAAAGGGTCATTGATGTCCAGTATATTGGGTCAGGAATGTCGTTTATATAGAGTATGTATAAGGTTGGTGAGAGAACTGAGCCCTGGGGGACCGAGTGATGTCTAGGGCCAGAGTGAGTGTTGGGATTGAGTACTATAGATGTTGGAGGTAGCATGTTTGGAGCAGATGCTCTTTTGTTTATGATCTTGTTAATAATATTTGATGTACCTGATAATTGTTTTGTCGTTGTTACTGGCGGAGAATAAAACCATGTGGACGAAGATTGTTTCTCTTACCACAACCATAACAGTGGCGACGAGGATTAAACATCTCCGGCAGAGAGCCTGGGTACGAGACGTGGTGTGAGGATCAAGAGAGAGCAGGGTACGTCGTGTGGACGCTTCGCATTTTATCATTTTATCATTTAGGACAGTGAAGAAGAGGTGCCGACGTGGTGAAGAGGCCCTCCTGTGAGAGAATGTGGGACTCCTGTCTTTCTGCCCAGTTGAAGGAGTGTTGGAGGTCGTGGAAGAAGAAGAGGCTGACGATCTCCAGACTTATTATCCTTATTTTCATATTCGTGTATTACTTGTGATTGTATGTGTGTTCATGTAATTTGTGTCAGTAAATTCACACATTTTATCATTGTGTTTAAGTGTGCCTCCATTTATAATATTTCTCTATGAGCATACACGAAGGTTATCATAGTACCACCTAGGAAACACCACGTTCTCTATAGAGGTTCTTATTGCCTGGAGAATGGTAAAAACAGCACAGACTTATATAAAAGTGTACCCTCAGCCATCCGAGGGGACTACGTCTAGGTTACAGATGCAACTGGGAGATTGGTGAACCCCGACAGAGAGAGTGCATCTTCTGCCAAACTGTCACAGAAAAGCCATTACTTCACTATCTTCTGGAATGTGAAGCAACCAATGACCTTAGAAGAGTTTTAAGAGTTCCTGAATCATGCAGTGGCCACCATGAAGCCATCAACACAGCCACTCTCCTGGTCAACAAAGGTGTCCAGCAGCTGGACACCCTCATAAAGACTGTGAAGCAGTATCCTCCCTCGCGATAACAGCTTGATGGTTAAATGCAACCTCAGAATACTGAGAAAAAAAAAATTGTACCACTTACGGGCTATTCATGCCCGTGCCACCTCTTGGGTGGCTTAATCTTTATCAATCAATCATCATCCAATCAGTATCAGTGCCTGAATGGTGGCAACTAGTAACGTAGTGGCTAGTGAGAGGTAAAGCCGCACAGACCTTCCTGGGAGAGTACCCTGGGCCGACAGTCTAATAGCAAATCTATGGGAGTAGCAACCTTCTGGCAACAAACAATATATAATACACCCACTGAACTGCATCGCTGGGGTGCAGATATAATAACCCAGCTGGCGACCTTGTTTAGAAGAAGATAGAGAAGACAGGCGGGAAAGGACTTCCTGCAACCTTTTTGTCTGGCAGGCAAGACTCAGGGAGGTTATGGTTATAAGGTAAGTCTAATGTGTCTTCCTTCACTCCTCCACAGGTCTAGGCCGAAACTGTTAACAGTAGTTTCCCCGTGTTTGACTGAAGGGCTTCCAGGGTGAATCAGTAGCACCCCCTTTTGTGGTGGAAGCAAAGACCTGCGGAGGTGGGCATTATTGGTCCTCTCCTATGTGACCAAGGAGATTCCAGTGAATCCCGGGAGTCGGAGGGGCTGAGTATTCAGCCTTTTGAGCCTCTAGCGGCTGAGTGCTAGCAGAGCCCCGGCCCACCCCCCAGTGACAGTATCCAAAGAGTTGCATCTTTCAATTTATAATTTGAAGGTATATACTGCCCAAACTGAGATACTGTACCTGCTTGATGGGGTTCTGGGAGTTCTACTCCCCAAGCCCGACCGAGGCCAGGCTCGACTTGTGAGTTTGGTCCACCAGGCTGTTGCTTGAAGTAGCCCGCAGGCCCACATACCCACCACAGCCCGGTTGGTCCTGCACTTCTCTTAGAAAACAGTCCAGTTTTCTCTTGATGTCCACGGTTGTTCCGACAATATTTCTTATAGTCGCTGGGAGGACGTTGAACAACCGCGGACCTCTGATTGTGCCTATGGCACCTCTGCTCTTCACTGGTTCTATTCTGTATTTTCTTCCATATCGTTCACTCCAGTACATTGTTATTTTACTGTGTAGTTTTGGGACCTGGACATCCAGTATTTTCCAGGTGTATATTATTTGGTATCTCTCTCGTCCTCTTTCTAGAGAGTACATTTGGAGAACTTTGAGACGATCCCAATAATTCAGGTGTTTTATCTCATCTATGCGTGCTGTATATGTTCTCTGTATTCCTTCTATTTCAGCAATCTCTCCTGCTCTGAAGGGGGAAGTGAGTACTGAGCAGTACTCAAGATGGGACAACACAAGTGACTTGAAGAGTACAACCATTGTGATGGGATCCCTGGATTTGAAAGTTCTCGTAATCCATCCTATCATTTTTCTGGCTGACGCAATACTGTATTTGCTTGGTTATGCTCCCTAAACGTTAGATCGTCGGACATCATTATTTCCAAATCCTTGACATGCTGTTTTCTATGGGAAGATTCGATTGTGTTTTGTACCCTGTATAATGTTTCAGATCCTCATTTTTGCCATACCTGAGTACCTGTACAGTAAAGTATGTTCATAGCCATTAAAATACTTTTTTCAGTACTCAGTTTTCAGTACTATTAAAATGATAATGCATTAAGAAAATATTACAATTATTGTGTTTATTAAGAATATGAGTCATTAATCCAATACTTTATTAATTTAAGGTGAGAGAGAGAACAATCATAGAATAATTTTATTGATAAAAAGATTTGCAACTATACATGACTACATATATTCAAACATACTCTCTTATATGTACGACTAAAAATAAAAGTAAACAAATTGTTGGCAAAGAATAATTGATGAAAAGAAAACTTTCATATTCCATCATCAGGAACGATGACTGAAATTTGCTAACAACTTGTCAACATATCACATTTACCAGCTGCAATAGCTTAAACTGAATGAAGACAGCCTCAAGATTGATCACTCAAATCCAACCTCAGACCATTGTCCAATGGTCACCAGACCATGGTGACCATTGGCACCAAAGACTATTTGAAAGTTTGTTAAAATTAGTACTCTGAAACCATTGAACACAGTCTATTGCCAAAGACCACAAAATGCCCTGGGTAATTGATTTCATATCAAAGATAACCCTAGCATGTAGCCTGGGATGAGTTTTCGGTCTCAAGAGGCTGCAACACAGCAGGTACTGGCAGCGCCTGACATTCAATGTAAGGCAGATGAGGTCATCAGAAGGATCTTCCCAAGAACAGTGTTGTACTCTGTGTTGTCACTTCAAGGAACCCATGACGACTGTAGAGTTCTAAATAATTCTTTTCTCCTACATTTACACTGCAGTGTCCACCAAATATACCTGAAATATTATTCAAACGTTAACAATTGCTCTCACACACACACGAACAAATTTAAGAAGAATCAATTTATAATTTTTTTGCAGTCAAACTTCAATTCAGCAAGCTACGTGGGACCAATCGCACTTTATTATAACCATAGATACCTTTAGGAGGCATTTGTATGATGTTTTTTATTTAACCTGCAATAATCGTCTGTGATAATCGCAGATTATCGGCTCCGATTATCGTCTACTGACGATCCCTAAGAGACTGCAGTTATCAAAAGACGATTTAAACCATTTCTCTCTGGGTTTTACACGTATGATGCAAATATGAATATAATAGCTCTCTGGATTAAATAAAGAAAAAACAAGGAATAAAACAACCAGTGAAACATCCAAGGATAAAACAGGAATCATTAGCAGTCAAGCACCAGGCAATGAACAAGTGCCAAACGCAGCCTTGCTGAGAGCCTCCACCATGCGAAATGATAAATATTTACTAATTTGTGTGTTTTCTTACATTTTGCATACAAATTAATACAGTAATTCAATAATGAACATTTTTATTTTTGTGTGTGTGCATAGTCAGATATGACTATTTCTCCATAGCAGATATCAACAAAGCTTAAGAGTAAACTGCACTGCTATGCTTGTTTCTTTTAGGGTTATATTCACTTATGAATATAAATTAAAAAAGCGATTGGAGCCATTTTTAAAGTTATCATTCTTTAATACTGTATTTCCCACACTCTAGGGCAAATTTCTTTAACATTTTAATTTTAACTGATCATAAGATAACCTACTACTTTCCACAGGTTTGTGAACTCTGGCTCCTGCAGCCTAAGCAAAGCTGCACATTACCCCTTTGCCAAACACTTGTTTGGCAAAAAGAGCAAGTAAATCTGTCCTAAAACATGTGTAATGCAACCGGTGATTCACCATATTGAAGTTGCATGTTTGTGTTATTTCTTCCATGATTATCTATTCATGAAAAGATAAAGTAACAAGGTATATACTAAGTAAATTTAAATGACATGCTATTAACTAAAAGGAATTATAATTGCATAGGCAATTAAGTGGAAGCTTTGGAGAAAAAAAGGCAGGTAAAAGTTTCAACAAGACAGAATCGGGTACCACTTTGGAAATGTTTCCAAACAGCAGACTCGATATACAATTCAAACTTACCACGAGCTCTGACTGATGCTAGCATGCAAGTTAGCAGTCTCTTGCTAATAGATTCATCAGTAACAGAGAGAAGGCAGGCGAGAGAGACATTGGCAGGGTGAGAGGCAACAAGCATTTTGGGTGGAGACTGAGGTTCGGAAGCCAATGATATTAGAAGCTCTTCACATGGTGTCAGCATCATCCCTTCTTCTCGAATGACCTGAAAGTATTACACATTTTAGTATTGAACAATTCAAATAAATAAATAAGTACAGTACAGAGGAACTTTGAATATCTAGTTGAATATCGGGAGGGAACAAAAGCACAGAGGAGCCTCGCTTGATGAATGCCCCCTCTATGAATTTTTCGGTACACGTAGTCAATTTCCTAGTAAAATACAACTACTGTATTCAAAGTTTGCCTCAGTTTTCGAGTTGATACTGTACACGTATGGGTCGACGAACGAGTGGTTCTGCTGGGCACGGGGCGAGGCGTGCTCAGTTTACCAGGGAATCCCGCCCAATGACAACCGCGCTTGAATTTTGTGAGGAGTTTCAGTATTTATCTGCTTTTTTGGGTTTCTGAACATTAAGGTTCTCATTATAAATCATGCCATGAGTACCAAGAAAGTCAGTGGTAAAGTTCAACCTAAGAAAATAGTTCTGAGTAGAGGATGTCCCTTTCTCGTTAAGAAAATGTGTGCAGTATGGAAAGATTTGCAGTTCTGCTGAAAAACCTAACCCAGATAAAGCTGTAGCAGGCTGTAGTGCTTACCTTTTTAATGATAATGTGATGTCTCACTACAGGCAAGTGTTAAAACCTAGGGAAAACAAGTGTCTTTAGACAGATTCTTAGTGAGACAAACAAGCAGTGAGCCACAACCAGGTCTTGAAGCTATCTTGAGATGATTTCGGGGCTTAGCATCCTCGACCAGGCCTCTTTTTTGTTACACACTCCCAGGAAGCAGCCGTAGTAGCTGTAACTCCCAGGTGCCTATTTACTGCTAGGTGAACAGGGGCACCAGAGTGAAAGAAACTGCACATTTGTTTCCGCCTCCACTGGGGATCGAACCCGGAACCTAAGGCCAACGAATCCCGAAGGCTGTCCACTCATCTGTCAGCCCCCCCCCCTAATGGCATGCCTGCAAAACGTAGGTCTGTATCTCAGAAATGTCATCAGTGCCTGATGTTATAATGGAAGGGTAACCCCCCCCTTTCCAAACACTAACACCTCTCCCTCTCCTTACTGTTTTCTATATGCCAACAAGAGTCCTCATTAAAGGTAAGGTACAATACTTATGAGTAAGTAATTATCAAAGAAGGCACCAAGCCGGGAAGGCTATATAGCACCATCAAATGTGCGGAATAATCAGAGGGCGCTAAATATCACTAAGGATGCCAACAAGAGAACAGAAACGCATAAGGCGAACGATATAAAAAGTATCCGATTCACCAAGAATTCTATTGAGGGACACGTGAGTGAGAGGGATGGTCGGAAAGCAAGACGCGCGCCTCCTGGAAGTCAGGACATTCAGCAAGGATATGCACAATGGTAACAATGACAATAAGGAGCAGGGCGGCACTCCATTAAGTGACCGTGAGTTAAACATCTACCTGTATAGCGAATACGTAGCCTTGCCAGAGCCGTTTCCCACCGCCAGTTACGGTGAACTCATTAGACTTTCCTTTTAACTACTTTTTCTTCCACCTCTCTCTCATCTCCTACAACCTCCTCATATGCTGTTTTTCACACACACACACACACACACACACAAGGCTCAAAGGAAAATGTCAGTGATTTTAGAAGAATAGGAAAATATGAGAAAGAAAAGAACCGCCCCTTAAGGGTGACGTTTAATGGAGTGAAAAACATGATGGATGTGCTAAGACATGCCAGGAAATTGCAGAGTGATGAGGTTGGCAAACTTTGGTCAATAAGACAAGTAAGTAATTATCAAAAGAAGGCACCAAACCGGGAAGGCTATGTAGCACCATCAAATACGCAAAATAATCAGAGGGCGCTAAATATCACCAAGGATGCCAATACGAGAACAAAAACGCATAAGGCGAACGATATCAAAAGTATCCGAGTCACCAAGAATTCTATCGAGGGATAGGTGACCGCGAGGGGCGGTCGGAAAGCAAGACACACGCTCGTCCTGGAAGTCAGGACATTCAAGAAGGACATGCACGACCGTAAGAGGGACAATGCAACTAGGACAATAAGGAGCAGGGCGGCGCTCCATCAAGTGACCATGGGTTAAGCGAGTATGGCCAATACGCAACCTCGCCAGAGCTGTTTCCCACCGCCGGTTACGGTGGAAGGAGGACGGCCACGAGGAAACACAACATTTAAGAGTACGTAGCTTGTTACCAGTAACAGACAACCAAGAAGCCTGCCAACGGGTAAGGACTGAGGAATGGATAACCGGGTAAAAGTCGGAATACGGAATGCCTTTACGAGAGATGGGACAAGAGCGGACAGCTTCCTTAGCGGCAGCATCCGCACGCTCATTTAAAGACACGCCAATATGGCTGGGAACCCAACAAAACTCAACCGACTTAAATTTACTGTGAACGAGAAACAGCCAATGCTGGATCTCGACAACTACTGGATGAACTGGATTAAAGCACCCGAGAGCCATGAGGGCACTACGAGAGTCAACAACAACTATAAAGGAAGACTGACAACGAGAAAGCAGGAGACGAAGAGCATAGAGAATAGCATAAAGTTCCGCTGTAAAGATGCTAGTCTCCGGAGGCAAGCGACACATATAAGTGCGATCAGGAAAAACAACAGAGTAGCCAACACCGTCCGCTGACTTAGACCCATCGGTGAAGACAGAAACGGAGCGGGAGTGAGAAGAAAAGTGCTCGAGGAAAAGGCGTTTTAGAACCGTAGGAGGGGTAAAAGCTTTAGTGATACGAGTCAAGGATGTACAAAACCGCGGAAGAGGGACCCTCCACGGGGGCAAAGAGGGAACAACACGAGGAGAAACATCAGAAATACGAACGGAAAGAGAATCCTGTAGGCGAGATAACCGGACAGAAAGAGGGAGGTGGCGAAGAGGAACAGGAACCGCAGGAGGGGTAAAAGTTAAAGCACGACAGAGGCGAGAGGAAGGATGTTGCAAGGACCGCGCAAGATAGCGAAGACAGTAGCGATCACGGCGGTCCTGGAGAGACAGGAAGCCAGTGTCAACATACAAGCTAAGGACGGGAGTCGAACGAAAGGCACCAGAACTGAGGCGCAACCCAGTATGGTGCAAAGCATCAAGTCGGCGAAGAGTAGAAGGAGAAGCAGACGAGTAAGCAGGGCAACCATAATCGAGCTTAGACAGGACGAGAGAGGAATGTAAAGCAAGGAGAGTGCGCCTATCTGCCCCCCAAGAAGTATGGAACAAGACCCGAAGGAGGGTAAGGGCCTTAGAGCACTCAACACGGAGGTAAGAGATATGGGGAGACCAAGACAAACGAGTGTCAAGGAATAACCCCAAAAGCTTCGCGGAATCTTTGTATTCAAGGGGATGACCATAAAGTGACAAAGAGGGACGAAGAACAACCCGTTTCCGCGTAAAAGTCATGGCACAAGTCTTAGAAGTAGAGAACTTGAAGCCATGACCTGTGGCCCAAGACGACACGGCATCAATTGCAAGTTGAAGCCGGCGTTGAAGGAGAGGCGAATCATCACCCTGACAACAAAGGGTAAGATCATCGACATAGAGAGCGGAGAAGACACCAGAAGGAAGAGAGGAAAGAAGACCATTGAGGGCAACCAGAAAAAGAGTAGTGCTCAGAACACTACCCTGGGGCACACCTTCGTATTGCTGAAAAGAGGGAGAGAGAGCGGTACCAAGGCGCACCCGAAAGGAACGACGAGAGAGGAAGCTGCGGAGAAAGAGAGGGAGATGACCACGAAGGCCAAAAGAATGAAGTTGAGATAGGATATGATAACGCCAAGTGGTGTCGTAAGCCTTTTCTAGGTCAAAAAGGACAGCAACAACGGAGGTCTTCGCAGCAAAAGCAGTACGAATATAGACCTCCAAGTTCACCAGGACATCTGTCGTGCTGCGGCACTTGCGGAAACCAAATTGAGAAGGGGAGAGGAGGTGATGGTGTTCCAGGAACCACATCAGACGAACGTTAACCATACGTTCAAAGAGTTTGCAGACACAACTTGTGAGAGCAATAGGGCGAAAGTCCTTAGGGGAAGTACCCAGAGACCCCGGGTTGCGAACAGGGAGGACAACGGCATCGAGCCAGTCCTCAGGGACTGACGACGACTCCCAGATCCGATTATACAGACTCAGTAAATACTGAGACGTGCTCGGAGGGAGATGGCGAAGCATCTCATAATGAATACCATCGGAGCCCGCCGCTGTAGAACCGCAGAGGGCCAGGGCAGAACGAAGTTCAGAGAGAGAGAAGGGATCATTATAGGGAAGCTGAAGATGAGTGCAGAAATCTAAAGGACGAGACTCAAGGACAGGTTTACGAAGAAGGAAAGATTGGGGAAGATGAAGACCAGAGCTAACAGAAGAAAAGTGGGAACCCAGTTCGGAAGCGACCTGCAACGGGTCCGCCACAAGAGTATCATGGAGGTGAAGGACCGGTGAAACATCGGGAACGAACTTACCCGCTATCTTGCGGATACGCTTCCAGATCTGGGCCAGAGGGGTTTCGGACGTAATTGTCGAGACATAAGATGCCCAACATTCACGTTTAGCCGTACGGATGGCCCTACGGGCCACCGCACTCGCTTTCCGAAAGAAAAGAAAAGAATCGGTCGTCTGCCTACGGCGGTGCTTCTTCCAGGCTGCACGCTTACAGCGGACAGCCCGAGCACAGTCCGCATTCCACCAGGGAACGCACTTCCGTGGACCCCGAGAGGAAGAGCGAGGAATAGAGCGGAGGGCAGCGTCGAAGACAGTGTCATGAAAAAGGAGGAGAGCGCGAGAGAGGGGCAGAAGGGAGAGGTCAGAGAGAGAGTAGCACTGAGGGAAAATAGGGTCCAGTCCGCCTTAGCAAACTGCCACCTAGGGAAAGAGAGGGAAGGGCGAAAAGAGAAAAAGGAAACAAGGATGGGGAAATGATCACTTCCATGGAGGTCATCAAGAACCTGCCACGTGAAATCTAAGTAAAGAGAAGAAGAGCAGAGAGAAAGATCAAGACAAGAAAGGGTGCGAGTTCGAGAGTCCAAATGAGTGGGCTCACCAGAATT